CACACACACACACACACACACACACACACACACACACACACACACACCAAGTGCACACCACACACCCCCTCCTCTGTCCCTCCACTTCCTTCCCCAAGGGAGCCTCCGCCTTCGGGCAGCTCTCCCACGTCAGAACCTTCTTTCTGCCACGGGACCAACCCAGCTGCCTGTGATTTCTGAATGGGGGTCCCGGCCCCTCCTCCGGGTCCCAAAGTTGGGGGCTCTGGGGAATGACAGGTCCCTAAACGTGTCGAAGCTGCTCTCGTGTTTCCCCTGGGTTTCTGCCTTCCCAGATCCTCAACTTCTAGACTCCACAAAGGGCTTAAAGACCCTGTTGTAAAGAAATCATGGGAGTCTAGGATTAACTAGGAAGTTCAGGGAATTGCTCCCGTTAGCTGACTGGATTAACTGGGAAGTTCAGGGAGTTACTCCCGTTAGCTGACTGGATTAACTGGGAAGTTCAGGGAGTTACTCCCGTTAGCTGACTATCCTAACTGGGGATATTGTACCCGGGGCCCTGGGCGCCCTCCTGCCCCCAGCACCCTGCACAGCTCCTTAGTGACCACTACTGCCTAGCGCGGCCCTCACCCCGTGCAGCCCTCAGGACTCCCATGTACCGGCCCCCAGCAGGTCGGAGCTGAGGACGTGACAATGGCAACGTCACCTTCAGGCCGGGGCAGCTCCCGAAACACCTGGACTCGGGCCGGTGGGTCACACTGACCTCGCAGCTGTGACCAGAGTCCTGCATGGAGAGCGCACCCTCACTCACACCCCAGCCCCTGTTTGGGGGCCCGCCAAGGGGGGCTGTGCATGAAGGGCAGGCTGGGCTCGGTCCACGCCCCCAACATGCATCACAATCTTGCAGCAAGAGAAGCACCTGCCACTTAACAGCCATTTCACCCAAACGAGTGTCTACTTTTTGAGTCCTGGCCCCTACATACAACACGGGGATGATAGTGCCTGGTGGCTATAATGGCCGCAAAACACCTAGATTAATACCTGGAAAAGGATGATGAATGCGTAGTGAACGCCAAGAGCAAAAACAACCGTAACAACGCGTGAGATGACATGGGAGACGACGCTGTGTGACGTGACGTACACGACAGGGAGGCCGTGGTGAGGGCCGTGGTCCCCCCACCTCCGCATTGACTGACAGGCCTCCCCACCTGTTCACACGCCCCGTCTGTGTGTCCTCACCTCTCGCCGGCCTCAGCTGTTCGGCTCTGTTGGGATTTAGGAGTTTCTTGCTTTGATCCATTGTGGGTCATGGGAGGCTCCCAAAGACGTCTGTGCCCTAATCCCCAAACCAAGGATAAGGTAGCAGGTGGACCGAGCAGCTGACCCTAAAGTGGAGAGGTCGTGCAGGCCCCGCGGCGGCCCGTGTGACCTCAGGAGTCCTCGCAGGTGGATGAGGAGCTGGGCCCGCCGTCCTGGCTTTGAGATGGAGGGAGAGGCCTCCACCGGAACGCCGCAGCCTCTGGGGGCTGGAGGAGGGGAGGGGACACAACCTGCCCCGGAGCCTCTATCCCTCGACTTCGCCCCGTGAGGCTGTGTCGGACATCGGACTTCCGGAACCCCCAGATGAGACGTGTACGTTGTCAGGCACTGTTCGTGGGAATCCGTCAGAGCCGCCACAGGGACCCAAGGCATGTGTAGACCTTAGAGTTTGGTGTCCAGGGTGTATTCTTATCATTTTCAAGGTCCTGGAGGGACACCACTGTGATGCCCACAGCCCCCGACCCCGGACCACTCGCCCTCATGGGGACCGACACGGGGGCTCTGAAGGGCCCCTCTGGTGACACGGAGGATGTGCCCAACCCCACAGGCAAAGCGACTGCATCTGCAGTGGTCGGCTTCCCTTCGAATTCTGCGCCTTTGGTCCGTGAGTCTGATGTCTGCAGATGGCTGTGGTTGACGCAGCCGCTCAGGACAGTCTCTGACGTGTGACGCCAGGATCGTGTCACTGTTCGCTTGGCCCTTTGGGGCCGCTGAGCATCAGTTTCTTTCAGCGTCTTGGAAGGATCTGGGCAGAAAACTGAATGCTGGTCTTGTAGACGCTCAGCCCACATCATCCATCCGGGCTCATTAAATCACGGGATTGCTCAGAAGCACCAGATTAATTTTTTTCTAGCAAATTACACTTCTAAAGTTGCTTGTTTCACATCTGGCAGTTGAGGCAAAAGCTAAAACTTATGTTGGGAGCGTGAGGAATGATCTCGACGCGTTCTCTCCTGGGGACTTGAGGGAAGGGGGTGGTGTTTGGAGGAGGGGGATGGGCAGGAAGCCGAGGTGAAGGGGGGGCGGTGCTGGTCCTGGCAGTCCTGCAGCCTGGGCGCCAGGGTGTGGGAGCTGCAGTCTGTGTGTGCTGGCTGATCTCACGGGCGTTGCTGTGTCCCCGCTATCTGCAGGGACGCGGGGCTGGGAGGGCAGGAGCTGTTGTCCCCTTCCTCGCCTCGTCCACTCCCTGAAAGGGACCGCGGTGGCCACTGTCCGGCCTGCACGCTGCAGGCACCTGGGGGGCCGGGCGGCCTCGCGACCCGCTTCCTCTCTGCGCCCCGCTTCCCCCGCCTGGAGCGGGCTGGGCCCGCGAGCTCCCAGGGCTGGCCCGGGTCTTCTGCACCTGAGCGTCTTCCCCAGGGGACAGGGTCAGGCCAGGTGCTGCCAGGGAGGAGGGACAGGAGAGACTGCAGTTCGGAGAGCATGGGGAGGTGGCCAGAGGGAAGGGGGAGCACAGTCTGCACCTCTGGCCCAGGGAGGCCGCCTGGGCCTTTCGGGACTCGGAGGAGGACCCGGGCCCTGAGGGTGGGGCTGGGAGCGGGGAGCCGAGGACGGAGGGCGCCCTGAACTCTCCCCGGCCCACAGACGCTCCTGCTCTGCCAGTGCCCACGGCAGGGGTGCTGGCCAGACTGGGCCCAGGAGCAGGGGACGGGGTCAGCTGTGTGCGAGCTCCTGGCCGCTGCTCCTGCGACCCTCCCAGCAGCCCCACCCTTCAACCCACACGCCCCGAGGACACGGGGGCGCAGCGTGGGTCTGAGGTCGGTCTGGTGAGAAGGGAGTGGTGGGCGGTGCCCGGAGACGGCAGGGACAGGCAGGCCCGGCGTCCGTGACCGGGAGGGGCCGGTGCGCTTGCGGGGGGGCGACGGGAACACAGAGCCTCTTCCCAGCTTGCCTCTAGTCCGAGCGACGTGCTTCCAGTGGAGGAGGGCGGTGTGGATGGTGGGCTGGAGGCGGAGGGAGAGGAGCATGCCGGGCGCCCGGCCGGTCCATGGGGAGGCCTTTGCTGACCCCGCCCTCCCCTCCCCCCGCACCCAGCCCGCGGGGTCCGTGGTGCCTACGAGCTGGGGTTCGCAGGCAGCAAGAACAGGCGGCCCTGCCGGCCACGAGACCACCCACAGTGAGGATCTGCGCACGGAGCCCCCAGCTCACCTGACCAGTCTTGCGCCCCGTAAGGGTGGTGGGCTTGGGGACAGCGGGACGCACGAGCCCTGTGGGGTCCCCGGCTGGAGGGGGCTGCCGGCAGCTCTGCCGGGCTGGGCGGCAGGGAGGGACGCGCATGGCCGTCTGCCCTCGCCCTCGGGCGTTTTAGAGCAAGGCTGGTCCTCAGAGCCTTCTCCCCTGAGGCTTCCTGGGCAGGTGTGGGGTGCAGGCCTTTGTCTCAGCTCCAGGGAGCTGCCGAGGCCCAGGGGTCTGTTCCTGGTCGGAGCTCAGGCGCCTGGCAGGCAGAGGCACAGCGGAGACTCACGTCTCCAGGTGGATCTATGGCACGTTGGTCTGAAAACAGGGACGGAGCCCCGGAGCCCGGGAGGTGGTGGGCGGCTCACCCCTGGTATCTGTTTCCCCAGGTACCGCGTGGTGGTGTCATACCCGCCCCAGAGCGAGGCAGAGATCGAGCTGAAGGAAGGGGACGTGGTCTTCGTGCACAAGAAGCGTGAGGACGGCTGGTACAAGGGGACCCTGCAGAGGAACGGCCGCACCGGCCTCTTCCCCGGCAGCTTCGTGGAGAGCTTCTGAGGCCGTGACTGCTGCCCCCCCAGGGACGGAGGTGCAGGGACCCCAGGGGAGCGGCCGCCCAAGGCCCTGGGTCCTTCTGGGGACCTGACGGGGACGCCCGCACGCGCAGGACCCGGGGGCGAGGAGGTCACGCCTTCCACCCGTCCGTGTCCTCTGACAGGGAGCAGACGCCGCCGGGGCGCTCCTCTGCCATCTGCTGGCGGGGCCAGCGGGGGGCAGGGCCCCGCGCTTTGGAGAGCGTCCTTTGGGCGGCTCCGGGTGTCCCGTGGGTCCTGACCCTCGTCTCCGGCTATACCTCAGGCACCTCCACCTGGAGCCTCAGCATGGTGCCCTGGCCCGGGGTCGTCAACTGCCCCGTCCAGGCAAGGCCAGCACGTGGCTCCCACGGGGCGAGGTGGCAGCAGTGCCTCGTGCTTTGCCACCACTGTCCCCTCTCCCTCGTGCTTCTTCTTTCTTACGTCTTTTTACTGCCAAGCTGTTAGACTTCATAAATGTCTAACAGGTCGTTCACTGCCTATTTTTCATACATCTGGTGCTGCCTTTTTGTAAAACCAGTCGGGACTTGGTTGAGCTTGAAAGAAAAAATCTCTGGGGCGACACCAAAGGGGCAGAACTTTTACAGGCACCATGTGAACCTGGAGAGCCAGGTCTTCACAGCCTCGGTGCTCGTGGGGCCAGAGGGGCCTGGGCATTGGAGGGAGTTAGGAAAAGCCCGTGTCTTTCCACCCTTCCAGAGCCCCTGCCGCATCTGGAGATGTTCTGACAAGAGGTGGCAGTAAAGGAGCAGGAGGGTGGACCCCAGGTCAGGAGGCAGGACTTCCCTTCTGCGCTGTAGAGGGGACACCACAGCCGGCACTTCCACTGTCCAAACGTGCGGTTTTTACCACCGTTCAGACCGACTGCCTTGTGACGGTTTCTCCTTTTTTTCTTTAAATAAATAACTGCTCTGCTCTCAGTGCGCACCTTGGTCTCGAGACCAGAGCCACGAGGATAACGAGGGCTTTGAGGCGTCATGCAGACTTGCAGGTCCAGGGAGCTGGGCGGGGAGGGGCAGCTCTGATCCTGGGACCTTCCCCGTCGGGGGTCCACGAAGGGCACCCACGAGTCCACCTTCCCCCAAGCCCCGACGGGAGGAGCCCGTGAGAGAGACACCTTAGGAATACGTTCCTGTCAGTTCCTAAACCCTCTCTCGTTTTGCAAAGCCACTCAGGGTTAAATCAGGCTGAACACACTAGCCTTTGGCATGTCTGCAACAAAACCCAGAAGCCCACTCCCCGGCCCGCCATGAGGCCGTGGCAGGAACGCGGTCTTCAGAGTTCCTGTGTTGGGGTGTGACCTGGCCACTTGTTGCTGCCGGGTGGCTCCACGCCAGCGGGTTGCTCCTAGAGAAGAGCGCTCTTCCTCTCTCCAGGACATGACAGATTGACAGTTGAGAAATTTGTTCTGAATCAAAGAAAAAAAAATCCGGTTTAAACGCAGGGAGCCCTGTGCACCGAGTTTATGACAGCCAGAGGTGCACGTTTGTCACTGTTGCCAGATTAGTTGCTTTCCGTGCACAGAAATCCTGTGCGTGTCTACAGTTATGTCATCACCAAAAACATGCGCAGATTAACATGCTGAGTGAGACACGTGTTCTCCAGTGAAACCAGAGCTGACTGCGTCCACAGATGATAGGAAAGTCTTCTTTCTAAACGTGGGCAGTTACCAAGCAACACCACAGACCTCTCCCGGCACCGCCCACGTGATGCTGAGAGGCTGGCGCCTGGTGGAGGGGGCACGCCCCCCTGCAGGTGTCTTAGCAAAGTTGTCGCCAGCCTCTCCTGTGCAGAGTCAGGGCTGGGTGCTGGGGCCTCCCCGGGGCCACCAGCGTCAGGGCCTCCTCGCTGGCCAGGCTGCAGGGAGCATGGACACGCACGACCACCCCTGTGCTTTGGGCTGTTTTCAAACCCTTGGTCAGAAAATCAGCCCTCGTGACCAGTGAACCACAGACAGAGCAGGAGAAGAAACAGACCCTTCTGCCGGGCCGTCCTGCTGGAAGGATGCCCTCGTCCCGGGCACTAAGGTGAACCAACCCTTTGCCTGATACCCTCAGATTCCCCAGGTCCAGACCTCACGCACCGTGCTCGTGATGTGGCCTTTGGGGCCAAGGCGACATGCTCTGAGGAGCAGGGTAGAGTCCTCAGCCACATGCACTGACATCAGGACACGGAGGTGACAGGGCCATCGGGCCATCAAAGGGCCACGGGAACAGAGTCAGGAGATGGCAGCCTCACAGTGAATGCCGGGCTCCGGTGGGAAATTGTTGGCACTTTGCACAGTCACACACATGCACCCCTTGCTTCTGTTAGGCACAGACGTCAGTGTGTGATTCTGGAGGGACGGACTGATGACAAACCATGATGCCTGTGTTTCCGAGTCTTTCAATAAAACTGAACGTGGAGAGGCCTGGTGTCTGGATGGGGGAGCAGTCAGGTGGGGCCGGGCCGGGCAGGAGCAGAGTCGGCAGGCGTCCCCCACGTCCCCTCTGCCAGCCTGTGGGCGCACAGCCCTGCCACCCCCGGGAGCTTCCGAGTGGGCCACCCGGGGTCTGTGTCAGGGTGGCGGGCCGCTGAGGGGACCGGGGGCACCAGACAGCCACTCCCGGCCCAGGCTGGGATTCTGCCACTGGGCAGGAAGAGTTGAGCCTGGCCCGCGGGGCTTGGGTGGCTTCTAGGGCCCCCGCAGGCCCGCGGGGCTTGGGTGGCTTCTGGGGCCCCTGCAGGCCCGTGGGGCTTGGGTGGCTTCTAGGGCTCCTGCAGGCTTCTGCTTGCCTGGAAAAGCAGAGTGGCTTTCTGTGGGTGATGCCCCTGCCTTGCTTGTGGGAAGCCTTCACGTCAGTAGTCATTCAAGTCCTGTTGGCCAAGAGTGCCTGGAATCGGCCTCCCAGACCAGCACACTCACTACCCGGCCTGTGTGTCTGGCCTCGGGTGCCTGTCCTCTGGAACACGGGGTGCAGGATGCCTGGAACCCACCCGCAGGAGGGGCGTCAGGAGGCTGCCTATCTCCAAAGGGGGGGGCGGGGGGGCCTGTCTCCAGTAGCCAGACAGAGGGAGGCCCAGCAGAGGGCCACACATGACCCAAGGCCTGTCAGGGTGTTTCCTGGAGGCGACCCCGCTGCCCTCCTGGCCGGGCCTCCCCCACAGAGCCTTTGACCGTCATGTCACTGGAGCTGGAGGGAAGCTTAGCCCGGAGCTACTTCCCTCTTCTATGTGAACGGACGGAGTGAACTAGCGGAAGACTGGTAACACTGCCTGCAGGGTGGGGAGGGGAGGCCAGCCCGTGCTGCAGTGCTGAAGCCTTCACGCACTCCCCAGCAAGCTGGGTCAGAGACACTCCGCCAGGTGGGCGTTAGGTGAAGCGCCCGTTCTCACGCTCAGTGCACCCCCGAGACCCATGCCCAAGGCTGGGCACTGAGCCAGGTGGGCGTTAGATGAAGC